TATGAACACCCCCTAACTATGGATAGAAACTTTTTTGGTCGGATTGGTTCGGTTTTTGGTTTGGTTCGGTTTTTCGGGTTTTTATGAACACCCCCTAACTATGGATAGAAATTTTTTTGGTCGGATTGGTTCGGTTTTTGGTTTGGTTCGGTTTTTCGGGTTTTTATGAACACCCCCTAACTACGGATATCCTACCTATTTAATGAACATCAATAGAGCAGCAGATTGAAATGTCGAGAGATACTGATCCTCTCAGAAACAAGCAACTCAAAAATCATGGGACCTGCTTTGTCAACAGAATTTACATAATAGTAGAGTTATGATATCAAGCAAAGTTTTCGCCGAAGTGAAGTACTGAATAGCGGACTCTGTGAGCTCTCCCTAACTCCTGATATGTAAAAACCAGAATTACTAAAATTTTGAGGGAAATTATTAAAACATCTGAAATTTCAAAAAGAACCCCCATGCACTATGTTGCACGGACTCTCCAAAATTATGCCGCACCCGTGTCGGATCTTCCAAAATCACACTATTTTTGGAGGATCCGACACGCACCCGGCAACATTTTCGGAGAGTCCGAGCAACATAGCCCATGCACCCCACTTTTTCAGATTTTCAAATATTGATTCCCTTTCTTCTCTCCTTCATCTTCTTCTTCTGTATTTCACTAGAAAAAGAAAAACAACAACAACCCAGTATAATCTCACTAGTGGGGTCTGGGGAGGATAGTGTGTACGCAGACCTTACCCCTACCTTCGGGTAGAGAGGCTGTTTCCGATAGACCATCGGCTCCCTCCCTCAAAGAACTCACCACCTTGCTCTTGGGGTGACTAGAACTAACAACCTCTTGGTTGGAAGTGGAGGGTGCTAACCACGCAACCCACTTTATCACTGGAACTAAAAACAAGAAGACACGGAACAAGCTCATTTGGCCACTTTTATCACGCGTGTAATTTGTAAACCAGAACCCCGAGCAGCCCAACAAGGAAGGGCAACAGACCATGACAGGAACATTAAAAAGTGGAAAAGGCAAAAAAGAAAATGTATTACCAGATCTAAGAAATCATCGAAGCTTTGGAAAGAAAAGAGAAAATTTGGACATTTCAAGTAAAGATCTAAACTTTTTGAAATCGAAATCACAAGCATCACGAAAAAGCATATAAGAAAACTCACTACATATTTAATTTTTTTTAAAACATAAAAATGCAAAATAAAAATGACAATAAGAAAAACACATTGAAATCACTTTATCCTCAGATCGCGTATATACTTACCGTTTGTTCAAGCTCTCAGCTTCCTCATCAGTGATTTGACCTCCAAACAGCGTCTTACTGATTCCGTCAGACGGCTAAAAAAACAAAAAGTAATTAATAATAACAAATAAATAAATAAATAAATCACTAACGAATCATATGAGGAAATAACACAAATGTGAAATGGCAATGTTTTACCTGATGAGAACGCGCGCTGGAGCGAGAGGCATTGCCGGAGGCAACGGAGGAAGCGGAGGAGTTGTTTGCCGGCGGAACTTCCGACCAGGAGAGCAGATCGGCGGTATTGGTGTGGGGTTTCCGTACAGGTGTTGCTCTCTCCATTGTTTGTGTGTGTAAAGCTAAGCAGCTGAAAGAGTGTTTTGAGTGTTTTTGAAAATGTTTGATTTATCCAAGAAGAAATTTGAAATGAATTAATTTGATGTGAAGTTTGCTAAGGTTACAGGTCAAGTGGATAGTTGGAAAATTACGGCCTGTGGGACCCACGTTTCATGGTAAAGTATGGAACGTGCATCGTAAAAGCTGCTACAAAACTTATTGCAATCAGTGAGACACTGCGTTAAGTATGCACCCAACTAATTTGGTAAATTAATCCTAATTCCTAACATAAGATAATAGTACTATATTTAGTTGATTGAAGTGATTCACTAGTCACTACATACCTAATACAACATTTAAGGTTGTATAAAATAATAAATTCTTCATATTTGATGCAACGCCTGGTTAGCGGTATTAGTGAAATACACATAGTAAGTAATACATGATTTTATATAATTTTCGGTGTACTTTAATTAAATTTTTAGCCTTTTTTCGTGGTCCATAATATTTTATTTTTTCAGATATCAAAAAGTAATTAAATTATTTTTCTAAAGTTGGTATTGGAATAAAGAGTCTAGGAGTATTTATTATATTTTCAATGAACAAATTAAGGTTAATATGATTAATATTATTATTTAGTTTTTTGGTAAATAATAACTTTCATTACCAAGTAATAATATTTACAGCTCAAGAGAAAAACAAAACTAAGAACCAGAAATAGTCTAGACATAGTCCCAGACTACAGTTTCCCTATCTTACCATCTACGCCAACAAGTTACTTCTAATTAACATTACACTAGTGCTCTCTCATGCTTAAGGGTAGAAATTTAGGCTATCTAGTTTCCTTGACAAATGTGGCTTCGTGGTCCCTTGTTGAAATATTTCCTATATTATCTGTATGATGATGCAGTGGTTGCCTCACCTTTTGTTCTGAAATAACATTTGATTTCTCTCCTGCCATATGAAATAAACACAGCCTGCAAGTGACATTCTGTAGATTTCGGCATCTACATTCTTGTCATTACAGTGGGTGACTGCCCAAGCTACCTCATCATGCCATCCCATTGGTCGTCTGATTATTCTCTGCCATTATAGCAGTTGGTGACATATCTTCGCAGATATTACACACTGGAAAAATAAATGCAGCACACTTTCATTCTCTACATCACACAAAGGACAAGTTGAGTTTGTGGTGATACCCCATTGCATCAACCTGTCCCTAGTATATAACCTTTTATGAGCAACTAGCCTTAGAATGAATATCTATTTTGGTGCACCATAATTATTGCACACCAATTTTTTTCAAGCTACTTTAGGGAAGTCCCCCCTTAGCTTCTTGTAGTAGTCTTTGATGGAGAACTGTTGTATATTGATCAAATCTTGCATGCCCATACCAGCTTGAATCTTCATACTTACTAGCTTTCACTATTTTCTGTAGCAACCACGACGCCTGATTACACCTAGCTTCCCAGATTGAAATGTTTGCACCATAGTAAGCATGAACCCAGCGCACCCATAATCTGTCCTTCTTCTTGCATAGGTTCCATAATTGTTTGCAAATGGCAGCTCTGTTCCATATTTCTACATCAACAAAGTTTACTGCCCCCGTTGTCATGGGATAACACAAAGTTTTCCAAGCAAGAAGTGCTTTGTTATAACTTCCTGTATCTCCAATCCACAAGAATCTTCGACATGTTGTCACTATCAAGTTGATTATCCTCTTTGGCAAAACAAAAAACATGCGACCAATATGTTTGAATACCAAACAAGACACTCTTAATTAGCATTACTCTTCCAGCATATGAGAGAAACTTACTGGTCCAGCTTGTGATTTTACCCAACATCTTATCTATCAATGGCTGACATTGTGTAATAGATAGCCTCATAGAGCTTAGGGGCACCCCCAGGTATCTGAATGGAAGCTCCCCTTTTGAAAATCCTAGTATAGCTAATATATGTTGTTGAAGCACTGGATTAACTCCCCCAAAGTATATTGAGCTCTTTGTAAGATTGGCAGTATGTCTAGATGCCCGTGAAAATTCCCTAACACAGTTGAATAGTAGTTGCATTGAAGTCTTATCACCCTTGCAAAATAGAAGTAGGTCATCAGCAAATCCAAGCTGAGTGATCCTAAGTTTAACACACTTAGGGTGGAACTTGAATGCTGGATTTTCTATCATAATTTTTAGTAGTTTGCTCAATTACTCCATCACAAGCACAAATAAATAGGGAGACATTGGATCCCCCTGTCTAAGTCCCCTCTTTGCTGCAAAAGGTCTACTTGGTTTGCCATTAATATTGATTGAGTAGGACACTATTTTCAAACAGGTCATGATCTAGCTCACAAACTTTGTTGGAAAGTGAAAATCTTGTAGTACCTGTTCAATAAATACCCACTCTACAGAGTCATATGCCTTCTGCATATCAATTTTGAGCATGCATCTGGGAGATATCCCTTTCCTACCATAACCTTTGACAAGTTCATGTCCCAAGATGATATTGTCTGTAATAACTGTACCCAGCACAAATACAGATTGACTATTATTAACTAACTCAGGCATAAGAGCTTTCATCCTCTTAGTAATCACCTTGGATATAATTTTATATAGCACAGTACAGCAGGAAATAGGTCTAGACTCTTTCACACTAAGAGGGTTCCTTACTTTTGGTATGAGTGTCACTACAGTGCAATTGATGGGCCTGTGCATATCTCTTGTCTTAAAGAAGTTATCAACAGCCTCAGTGATTTTTCCTAAATGACCTGCCAGATTATCTTAAAGAAATATGCATTAAAGTCATCACATCTAGGGGCCGTCTGATCATCAATGTCCATCAAAGCATTGAAAATTTTCTCAGCAGTCATAGGTGCGATCAGCTGCAATTGTCGATCTCTGATAAGTCTATTTCCTTCCTGAAATATGTCCAATTGAACAGTAGGTAGACATGTTGCAGCAGATCCTAGCAAACTTTGATAGAATTTTAAGATTTCTGTCTCCACCTCTCTTTCTGTGTGTGCAATATTGCCATCCAATGTATTCAATCGTCTTATTTGATTCTGGGCCACCCTGTTCTTCATGCACGCAAAGAAGTATGCATTGTTCGAGTCCCCCAGGTGTAGCCATTTAACTCTTGATTTCTGCTTGAGAATGCTCTCATCAATGGATATCCATTTTTCTAACTGCATTTTAAACTCCTTTTCCATCTCAGCTAGTACCACCTGTTCATTTGGATCTCTTGTTTGGACTTGGATTTCAGCCAAGAGTTTCCTGCATTCCTCCACCTTCTCACCTATCTTTGAGTACCCCTTAGTTTTTAGGTTTTTCAATCCTTGCTTCACCTGTTGCAGTCTAGTCCAGATGTTATGCATCCCTTGTTTATGTCTTCCATTGCTCCATTCATTGCCCACCAGAATTAGAAAATCCGGGTGTTGCACCAAATGCACCCTTAATAGGGATGTCTGCAAACTCCACAACTAGTGATGCATGGTCTGAAAATCCTAGGTCAAGAGCAGTAGCTTCCAAGTGTGTCCATCAACTGATCCATTTACTATTACCCAATGCCCAGTCGATCTTGCTATGTGCATGATTATTACTCTAAGTATACCTCCTTCCAATTGTCTTTAGCTCTGTCATATTAGTGTCCACTAGGAATTATTGAAAATCAGCCACCTCAAATTCCTGGATTGGGTTCCCATTTAGTCTGTCATCAAGATGTCTGATGGTATTGAAGTCACCCATAGCAAGCCAAGCTCCTTGCTGTATACTTGCAATTGATCTCAATTCAGTCCACAATGCTTTCCTGTCCCTAACCGTATGTAAGCCATACACAATTGTCACATGAAACTCTACATTCAGCGAATTAATTTTGATCTTCCCATGGATAAGCTATGTGTGGTTGATGATCTCCGTAAACTCAAACTCATTTGAATTCCATATTATCGATATTCTAGCCTTCTCAGAAGTGTTATAGTTAGAGCACCAATGCCAACCAGGGGCCACTTTCCTAATTATCCCAGCAACATATATCTCTTGAACTCTATGCTCAAGCAAGGCAAGTACACCCACATTATTCTTTCTAATAAACTTTGCTAACTCTACTTGCTTATATACTTTATTAAAACCTCTAACATTCCATGTTATAAGCTTCATTGAGAACAAACGTCAGGAGGTCGTGTACCAGTACCCATGTAACCACTGCTGCTCCCCGATGTTCCCCCTCCTGAGTGGTTTTGTTGTTGCTGAGTATTTGCTACCTCCAATGAGCTGAAACCATTTGTAATAGCTAGCCTGCCATCTTTGGGTTTAGATTGAGCATTCTTACTAGCAAACTTCCCCCTTACCTCTATCTAATTTCCCTTTTGATTTTGATTCTGCACATTCACTTATGGTATAGTCTGTAAGGTCTTGTTCTGCCCATTGTCCTTAGGTGCAGTCGTCGTTTCTTCTCTCTTTTGCCAGACAGTCTTCTGCTTAGTTGGCATCTCTTGAGCCATATTTGAAGTTTTCTTCTGAGGAGGATTCTGACAACTATGTCCAATTAACAGACAAGTCGGGCAATACTCCAGCTTCCAATCATACACAACTTCTTGATCAAATATTTTCCCCATTGGATCCCTGGCTTTGACCGTGTTTGGTAAAGGCTTAGTAACATCTATTTCTATCAACATACGAGCATAAGAGACCCTATCTACCTTTGAAGTACATTCATCCGCATATGGGGGTCTCCCCGGCACACTACCAATTCGACTTAGAGAGTTCATACTCCGGCAATTAAGAGTGAGATTAGGGAATTTAACCCGTAATGGGATCATCCGCTATACCTCTTTGCTGAAATCAAAATCTGCTTCCCAAACCTTAACAATTATTGGTCGATTGTTCATTATGTGTGGCCCAGAGCATAGAACCTCATCCCTGTCCCCAATACTAGCAAATTTCACCACAAAGTATCCTTCATTATTATAGTATACCTTTGGTTTAGCAATGTAGTTCCAGTTGTTGGCAATAAACCTCTCAACTGCTCCAATGGAAGGTGAATTACCTACCACATACATAATCAAAGCATGCTTCCATTTCTCAGTTTTCTTGTCCACCTCTTCCTGTAACAGTCGTGCAACCATCTCCCCCTATATAATAATAGGTGCAATATAGCTCAATTCCATACCTCTTGCGGCAAATTTGTTCTCAGAGAATAGGTGGGCCCATGAATTCCCTCCCTGTGTTTGATTTAGAATTGCTGTCTTCTGTGCTTCAATTGGCATATCGTTCAACTTTTGGTTAGACCGAGATGCACTACTTGCTGCACCCGTTGCAATTTTATTCATTGGAGTTCCTGTCGGGGCCATCTTCATCTCACTTGATTGCCCAGGTAATTTAGGACTAGCTACATTCTCGGGTATACTTGTAGTCGGTGCCACCGTAAAATTGGATGTAGCAGGACTCTTCATTGTGACCACGTGCTCTCTAGCAGAACCCCCTGATTTTCCCCTTAGGGTTCCATCAGTCATAGCTCCTAGCTCGTGCCGACCCTCTTCCTCAGATGCAATTACTAGCGCTTCCTTTGTAAGTATTCGTCGATTTGTCTTGAGTTTCTTAACCTCCGAGAGCTGAATTTTGTTTGTTTGCTTTTTTTGCCGGCCTCTAGGCATTTCCGGCGGAGGTGTACGATAAGGGCTCTCCTATCATGTGTCGAGAGAAAATACTCTAGAGAGAGAAAAATAACAGTATAATTTTACAGCTTCAACATTTTATCTAGTACTAGTATTCTTTCACAGCATTAATATTATTATTAATTAATGTTAAAAGGTGGATTCCTTAATATATATATATATATATATATATATGAAAACAGTCAAAAAATTTAATTAAAGTGGACCGGACGAGAGTAGTTTTGAATGGGATAACGTGAATTAGGAACGGGGGAATAGAAATATTTAAAGATAAAAATATTCTTACAGTAAATAATTCTTGTAAATCGTTCTCATATTATCAACCTCGGGTAATACTCCTCGTATTTTTATTCATCTCATAACAGTTTGTTCATTATTATTATTTACCGCATAAATAATTCCCGTATTATAATACTGCATAACTAATACTCCTATATGAACCAAACAACTCCTAACTGTATAGCAAGCGACTTCAATATAACTTTATGACTTACTTATGGTCAATTAATATGTTCTCTTATTAATAATTAATAGTTAATAGTTAATTATAATGAGTTAATATAATTTAATACATGCAACAATTCAAATAATTTCATTCGTAACCCATGTGATTCTAGGAGTTAACATTAACATATCCAGAAAGATTTTCGGTAACCGCTCTCTCACCTCATTATCAGTTCAAATCGCAATAAATTGGTAACCATTATTAATAATTAGATTTATTTATTTATTTCACGAATATTCAGACAAATTTCGTTGTTTATTTTAATATACATGTCCTTATCGAGTTGCTGTGACCTTTAAAACGATAACATCTTTTAATTTGACTTTAGTTACTCAAGAAATTAGAAGAGTAACCTCAAAGGAATATCATTGAGAGTACATAACGTTATATATAAATGCATCGAGGGCTGATTCTTTTTATAGACCAAACTCCCGAAAATTCTTTTTGATAAAGAGTAGCCGTGAGACTTGATTTCAAGACCTTTTTTTACTATATCATCATGTTGAAGTATGTGACTATCTTATCTAAAAATTTAATTTCTTAAAGAGATCACATTTTTTAATCTATTTGAAAGACTAGAGTTTGTATCTTAACACGATAGGAGAAAATGATTAAAATAAAAACCTAGGGTTGGATTGCTGTTGAGAAGTAAAAACGTGCCAAAGTGAGGGCAAAGTTTATTTCGAAAAGAGAGAAAAGCAAATAATTTTAATTATACTAATATTACAAAGGTTTGATCTATTTCATTTAAAATAAGCAAGTTAAGAGCCAACTATATATGTTTCTTCTTAGTAAGCAACTAATGCTAAGCAAGAAAAAGTCAAAGGAAGAAAAGGAAATCATAGACTACAGGCACCTTTTCCTAAGTTTTACTCTAAGTCTTCCCTTATTAGCATATTATTATATTCATCGGCATCGAAATTTTAGCCTTTAAATATAAATGAAAAGAATTAAGGAAGGATTCGTCGGAAATACTACTCAAGTAGAACATATATTAATATGATTTATGAGTAATCTATTGCGGAGAAACTGGAGTTTTTATTCCTCTCCTCGTGCGTATTTAATTTTTCCAGCATGGAGAGATTTTGGATAGTAACTTGTAAGATGTGAAAAGAAAACAAATAAAACATTGATATTAAACAAACTTTAGGACCAAGATTAGCGATAAAACAGAAAACACCTAGTGCATATTAATTTGTTCAAGATATATGGATTAGTGAAAGGAGATATGAAAATTTTATGACCATTTCTCAGTATTATTAAACTATAGCTAGTATACGTTGTTCTATTTCATTTTACAGCTAAACATCGTAAGATACGTTCAATCATGATGTCCACTAGGATACTAAGCAGATCAAAATATCACATGGTGTATTTGTTATTCCCGTCAATATTGATGTATTTGTAAATAATAATTCTGCAAAGTATGAGTTATCGTAATGAAACAGTAATTAATTCGAGCCCACCGAATTCACAGTGTTTCCTTAAGGAA